TTCCCTTAGCTCTCTTACCTGCTCTTCAAACCCGTCGGATGCAGGGTCCGGCAGAAAATCCTGGGGTTGCCAAGACTTCTCGACCGTCTTGAGGTGAACCAGAATATTCTGCTCGGCCCAATCCTCCAGAGATTTAAAGATCTCGATCTTTTCGGGTGGCATGGAGTGGGTGACCTGAACGTGAACTTCCCTCGGAGGTGTAAACGGCTTCTTGATATTCTCTACTTCCCTGGCATTAAGCAAAGAATCATCAGCACGTAATCGTATTCCACATAAACCGACCAACTGGTGGTATTCTATTCTCTATCATAAATGAAACAAAACCATATGTGAGCAGTTGCATCACCCCACATAGACACACCATTAACAGGCATGGAGGTCCAATAATCACGTAAAGACGAAATCGATGTTTCGGCATTAACATACTTCCCCTGCCAATTGAAGTTAAATTTGGCAATTTGCCATCAAAGAAGACGCGAACTGTTCAAATTGCATCACCCAAACTTTCTTATTTACTAATAAATCAACGTCATAGAAAATGACCATTTGCAACGTGAAGCAGAGAGACAGCTTGCAAGCAGCAGCAGAAGAAAAACAGCAGACAGCAAGATAAGGGGCAATAAGACAAGCGGGCAAATGACTTCCAACCGAAAGCGATGAAAAAAGACTCTGTTGACACGATCCACGCATGCGTGGACACTTGCCCAAGAAAGCCTCTACACCTTCGAGCTCAAAACCAATGGCCGTCAGGAAGAAAACAAACATAAAGTAATACACCGTTCAAGATTCCCCCATGCACAGACAAAAGCATTTAATCATGATAAACATAAGGGAGCAACAAGTGCATTAAATGTGACATAAATGCATGGAAAAAAAGGCTGCAACAGCAAATTGTCAACTTCTGAAAAACTTAGCAGCTAATAGATCCTCTGGTGTCTGTCAGAATTGTTAAAGAGAGAACCGCAGGAAGAATGTCGGAAAGTTCGAGACTTTGACGAAGCTAATTGCATAGCGTTTATTTGACATGTACTATTGATCTAAAGACCATCAAAAGCAAAGACAATAAGGGGGGAAACAGAGGAAGTAAGAAAATAACAAGTGGACGAGCATCGAGCTACGATCTTCTTTCGCTTAACTTAAACAACCCATTAATCATCTTTCACCAATCTCTTCGGCTTTTCTGAAACCGCATTTCAGTTCATCTGAAAACGATAAAGGTAAAGAACAATCGAGTTTGAGGGAGGAATGGATCAATCCAGAAGATTCGGATGAATCATTTAGAAAACCAAACATGATCAAAATAGAATCATTATAATGAATAAAAATCAGTAACTATCATCGCATTCAATCAGCACATAAATAATCTCCTGAAGCAGCAAAGAAAACAGACACGGAACCATCTAGGGACATTATAAAAACCCAGGAAGCGAAACCATCGGAGTGGCATTCGAGATGCAGGAAATGTGACAGTTCAACAGCTCGAAACCGTATCGAACACCCAGATCCGAAATCGACAAACAGGCACGACCCAGAACGCAAAATGAGCCGAATCTCTACGGAGAAATCAAAAGAAGAAGAGAGGAAGGGACTGACTTGGCGCCGGAGCTGATAGCCGGAGAAGAGGAAGCGAGCCAGAGGAGCCTGGAAGATCTGAAGCTCGCGATTGGCGGAAGAGC